AACAGGCATTTGCCTACGTGTGAATGCTTCAGAATATTCTACAGAAGTAATCACTTGTCTATACCCATGCAAAGTGTATGTTTTTGCACATTCTTTTGAGTATGCAATAAATCCACTAGTAATCATTAAAATTTAAATATGTAGTTCAGTAATAAAAATTCATTTTTTAAAATATTTTTTTTATCTGTAGTTGGACACAATACCTTCATTTATTTATTTATTTTTATGTGGTGCAGAGGAAGAAACCCAGTGCCTCACATGTGCCAGGCAACCACTCTACCTCTGAGCTACAACCCCCACACCCAAAATTCATTTTTAAGTTAAAGAATAGTTATAAAAACCTCTCAGAATAGACCATTTAGTGGAGTAGAGTAGAAGATAATATTTTAGTGGATAAGTAATTCTTTAATAAAAGTATTTGTTTCTCCTTCTTGCAGGTAAATAACATTTTCTTTCTTCTTTTATTCAAAAATTAGAATCTCACAATTATTTAAAACCTGACCAGACCATCTGTTTTATCTTTTTATTGCAGCAGGATATAGGAGGTTGTTCTTAGGAGACACATTCATGCTTTTGTTTAATATTCTTTGATTAAAAATATGCAAGAGCATATTTTATAGAAAAAATGTACTAGAAAAAATTACTAGAGAAGAATTTTGGGGTTAGACTGAGTTCTTGCAGGAGGGGTTTAATTTACTTAATTACAGGGCCAGTGGAGAACCTAAGTGTAGGCATGATGATATCACAATTATTTTTTCTCAAACAAGTGTGTAAGTAGGTTGTAGGTAGATCTACCACTACCCCGAGTCCTTACATAATGCTACCTCAGTGTAATGCTACCTACAAAGTCAGCTGAATATGATGTCCATTATTCACTTGTCCAAAAGAAGTACAAGAAATAGACCCTTTCCAAAGGGTACTCTGCAGTAGTCAAAGAACCCACTCTGATACATCAGAAGAATGGATTAGAACTGCTGAAGCCCATCCATAGTAGAAGCAATGCTTTCAAGAGCTACTTGTCAAATGATGGCAAAGGAAGAAAACCATTTAAAGTCCAACATAGCAAGGGTGGTCCCAAGATTGAGGACAGATTGGAGAAAATGAGAAAGGTGTGACTTCATTATTTTCACAAAAAGCCGCTGATGAACCATATCCCTGCACTCAAATTTGGCTTTTTTTTTTTTTTCCCTGTTGCCATAAGCGCTGGGTGGGCTTAAATGTTGGGGAAAATGGTTGCTGGCTTTACAACAATGGAAATTTTATACTGTATTAGAGTAGCCAGCAAAGAAAAGTAAAGGGTCAAAAGGTAAATTCCTCTTACTACAACATATTTTCACCAAGTGAACCTCACCCTGTGATTAACAAAGCTCAAAGGGCTGATGGTTAAAAATGAGGAGGGAGCAGAAAGAAGAGGGAAGTTTTCATGGGTGTGTCAAAATAAAATTGTGTAAAATATTTGTAAAATGTTAAGTGAAAGACTGAACATTGCCTGCTCCTCTGCACAGACTCTGGCTGTCATTAGGGGAAGGTGTTCTACTTCTCTGAGAAGAACAGGCTCTTGTTCTCACTTTCGTCTACCTAGTTACTCAGACATTTATTTCAATTACTGCTCTTTATTCCAATTTATTTTTTAACCCATCTAGGGAAGAGATGGGCTTCCTGGTAAAGTAACAAAACGGAAGCCCAAGAATGAAACCCACCCTTTGCAATATAAACAGGAGAGATCACATTGGGCAAAACCCATCTTTCCTATTGAACAAAGGATGATGAAGGAGGTAAAGCTGATGTTCAACTAGACATTATTGGCAGCATTTCAGAAGCTATGCTTACACCATGATAGTTTCCTGGGTCATCTATAGAGAAACAATAGCAACTAGTGAAGATTTATCTGAGGTAGTGGTCACAACATGTACACTCCACCTGCCCAGTCCATCTTCTTTTGCTTAAGTCTTTGACTCAGCTATTTTAAAGATAGCAGAACTATGATTGAATGTACCCTCAGCTTACATGTATTTCTTCAGGCAGCTCCCAGAAATGCCTGCCTATAAGAACCATTTGAGCAAGTCACTGCAAATATTGGATAGATTAGAATGAGAATTTTAAAAGTGGGGTAAATATAGTCTATGTGAAATTGAATTCAATAGAAACCCTTAAAATGGTATTTGAAATGGAAGCATATTGGTAATATATATTAGCTATTTTTTCAGGTGATTCTATTTTGGTGGTTTTATTTTAAAACAAAAATACAGTGAGGAGCTGGAGCTGTATTTCAGTGGCAGATCACTTGCCTTGCACATGTGAGGCACTGGGTTCAATTCTCAGCACCACATAAAAATAAACAAATAAAATAAAGGCATTCTGTCCATATACAACTATAAAAAATTTTAAAAACACAATGATAGGGCTGGGGATGTGGCTCAAGTGGTAGCGCGCTCGCCTGGCATGCGTGGGGTGCTGGGTTTGATCCTCAACACCACATAAAAATAAAATAAAGATATTTAAAAAAGAAAGACACAGGATTTATTTAAAAAAAAACAACACAATGATACTGAGAAGTGTAGGTCAGGAGACCAATGTGAAATAAGTCTGATATAAGGAAGTTTTGGTAGTTTAGTGGTTGGCAAAACTTTCTTCTAATTTCTGCTTATGAAGGATGATTTGGCATAGAGTTTTGCTTTCAAGCCTATTACTTAGTACTACTTTATTACTTAATCTTTAAAACAAACTTTTTCCCCATCCTGCTTTTATCTTAAAATGTTTGTTTCTGTTTAGTTGATTCTCTTATCAGGAATACCTTCTCCAGCTTCCCTATTCTCTTCAGATTCTGTTCTCAATATTCAGTGCAACTCCCATCAACTGAAAAAACTAGTATACTTTTCCAGGCTACCTTTATCTGCTTAGCCCTGAATTTCTATGAGTTATACATTTATATATCACAATCCACTGTTTATTAAACACTGTCATATTAATGTCTAGTTGCTTCATGAATATTTTCTTTTTTAACAAGATTCTTTCATATTTTCCATAGTGCCTATCCCAGTAAACACAATCATACTTAACCAACTTGACTTGAAACTCTAAGACTTTTGTACCCAGTTATTTAGTTTTTGTTTTGTTTTAGTTTTTTTTGGTACTGAGGATTAAATTCAGGGGCACTCAACCACTAAGCCACATCCCCAGCCCTATTTTGTATTTTATTTAGAAATAGGGTCTCACTGAGTTGCTTAGTGCCCTGCTGTTGTTGAAGCTGGCTCTGAACTTGTAATGCTCCTCTTGCAGCCAAATTGTAATATAAAGTCTCCCACTGTGATTTTCCCATAATAAATTATCATCATTATTGATTAATATTTATGGATTTATATAAGTATCCTGGGCACTAATAAATGTCTAATCCTGCAGAATATCTATTTTTTAATCATTGAATTTCATCTTTCAGATGAATTTAGAAGTTAATGCACCTACTATTAGGGAAAAGTCTATACTGTTTTCTAGTACCATGGACTGGATAATACCAATGACTATATATTTGATTGAAACTTCAAATAAAAAGTAGGTAGAATGTAATTACTAAAGCTGGAGTATGGCCAGGAAACTTAGGAGAACACTCCCAGTTCCTGCCAGAGTCCATGGATAATCATGAGTGGTCAGAAACATTGCTACCATGTACCATCTTAAACATAGTTCTTCTGGCCTGTTTCTCTAGCAAAATAAGGCCACCCAAGCAGTAAGGTTCACAGGGGGAATAGTTACATCTAGAGGTTCCTAAATAACAGTTTAACTTTTTCATTTGTTTTTGACAAACTCATGAGGTCTACAGGAAATACCCAAAGTAAGTTCCACAATATTTCCAGCAGGATATATTAGAATAGAGTCTGTAATGCATCCTGTTTTGCTAATTTGAAAGAATTATCTCTAGCCAGGTACTCATTCTTTTTAACACTAACCACTGCTACAGAAGATTCAGCTTTTCTTTGTGAAATGTGGAAAATGCTGTAAGTGTGTGTATGTACATGTCTTGTGCATACTGAGGGAACAAAAATTATATACTTCTTTTTTTGTTTTCCACAAGATCACTTTTCCAAGTTCCTCTGGATTATATTAGATTATTTTGTACAAATTCATGCCCCTAAAGCATCTTAGTCCCATCTTATATACTAATCATATATATAAGATAATGATAAATTCTGAACTTGACTTTTTGGTATATCCCTCAGCTCCACGTCTCTTTTCCAGATGCAAATAGAAGCAATTAAAACATACAGATATATCACAAATTATAATAAATTGATAAAGGCTCATATCTAAAAATTATGTGATTAGGCTGTTACATTACTTGAAAAACAGATTTTTAAAACTTTGTGCCTTCCAACTCAGATCCTAGAAAAGGTCACTCTAAGGTCTTCAAAAATTTGGGATAATAAAATTTTATTTTATTTATTTGCTTTTTGGTACTGGGCATTGAACCCAGGGGTGCTCTACCACTGAGTTCTATCCCTAGCCCTTTTTATTTCTTATCTTAAGACAGGGTCTCACCAAGTTGCCCAGGCTGGCCTTGAACTTGTGATCCTTCTGCCCCAACATCCAGAGCAACTGGGATTATAGTCATGTGCCACTAGGCCTAGATGGGGTAAGAAAACTTCCAATTGTCCTTTTGAACTTCAGTTTTTAATAACATAGTCCTAATTCTGAGTTTGTGATGCTGCTTGTATAGTAAGAAAAGAAAAAAAAATCATATTTGTACCCACTACAATGTTATTTCAGATTTACTGTAGACTTTTTTTCAATCAGATTGATGCATAATTTCTCATTGACTTCCCTGACTCAAAAAACCCCCTACTTCTTGATAAGCAGCAATAAAATAAAACATGGCCGAATTCACTGTCATGCAGTTCTTACTTGTTAAGTTCTAAGGCGCTCACATGCTCAGGTGTCCTTAATATTAAATGCTTTGGTATTGATAGTTAAGACATCTGAAAACATACAGCCTCAGATTTCCTTACTTCTGACCAGTCCAAAGCCACCCACTGAGGTGGACATGACTGGTTGTTGCAGGGCTCTTTTTCGATAGGCCGGTGTGTTAAACAACCACTATAGTCCAGTGTCTCCTCCTCTGAAGGTCCGATCTTCCTGATGCAGAGCACTGCCCTTGTGCGCATCCCACCATCACAAGTCTTGCTGCACTCCAACCAATCCCCAATGAACCACCTGCAGCAAGAAGTGGAAGAAACACAGAAAAGCATTTCCTCAGTACATCCGGAGATTTCCAGGCGAGTGAAGGCACTTGCATGAATGGACTCTATCCTTTTCCTAGAAAAACTAACAGTTCATGTTGGTTAAAATAACAAGTGGCAAATGGAAGAGCCCCCTAATGAAGATTATTTGGTGTCAGTTAGAGATAAATATTTAAAGTTTCCAGTGCCATGCTAGTAAATGTTTGACAACTGGCTCTCCATGTGGAAAGGGAGTTCTGAATTGGGGCATTTGCCAATTTTTGTGGTATAATGCCTTACTATGGCTGATTTCAAGCTACCTATTTGACATAATATGAACAGGAGAAGATAAGCTAATAATAGGGTCTCGAGAATAAGTACTAGCCAGCTTTAGTACATACTGGCACATCACCAATAAGAAATAGTTATTAATTTTAATAGTATTATATTGAGGCTGATTCTCCCATAATTGAAGATAATATGCTCAAGTCATCCTAAAGGAATTGAGGATTTGCTTTCTAATTTCCAGAAATGAACTTCATGAAGATAGTAGGCCTTTATGGTACTTATTGGGGCAGAGAGGCCCAGGTATCTACAGTGAGGACATAGGTGCCTTAAAACACTTTTGGCAAAAGTAAAACCCTAAGCCAGCTCTATGAAGATGTACAGATACCTTGTTCTAACTCCTTTAATCCTAAAAAACCAGCTTTTGTATGGCTAATGTGGGGGAAAAACTCAAATGTCTTAAATGAACACATCTCACATTTGTAGGTATATCCATTCCTTTCCTTAAAGTCATCAATGAATATATATATATATATATATATATATATATATATATATATATATATATATATATATATACATAATTTCAGAGCAATGACCCCCATCAATTGCCTTTAAACTGAATTTCATTTTAACATTGTTGAATACAGAATGTAGATAAAAAGATATTTTCTTCAATACATTGTTATAAGTTATGCAACTATCATCAATGAATATGCTGATGCTCTTGAGTGGGAGACTACCCAGATAGAACACATAAAGCTTAAGAAAAAAAAATCCTTATTATTTCTCTAAGTAGCACTGCATTATGTCAGTTTTGTATATGGAAGGTACTATTTCAGTGAAGTTATAGTACTAGTAGCCTATATTTGAAACTATATTTAGCAAACTAATAACAATGGTATTGGTTTCATATTATTTGTATTATTATTTATAGAGGAAAATCAATATTCAGAAATACCATAGCTAACCAGTTTTTCAATTAAAAAGCTGTTAAAATCTAAAAATTTGCAACCTAAAATTCATTTAAAGAATGATAATCCTGAATTTTAAAAATCTGAAATTAATTTTTTGTTGTTGTTTGTTAAGTCATTTTCCAAAGGAGATTTAAAGTGATTTTCATATTCTTTCCTGTATGTTTTCTACAGATGAACATGATCCCAAGTTCTTAGTACCATTTTTGGTTAAGGAGGAAACTGTGAACTGAGAATAATAACTTGCATGCCAGCCATAGTGAAACTCTGATTCAATTTGTAACAGTGATTTCATCACCAAGATTAGGGGATAAAACAGAAATGTGTATAACTCAGCCACAAAAAGCTCAGTCATACCACCTCCAGCCATGATCTCATTAGGTCTCATAATGTAAGAGGGATGGAGACCTTCAAATTAAACACAGGTGCCTGAGGTAACAACAGTGATTCAGGCAGTGTTAGTGTTCTTTGGTGCACAGGGTCAGGGCCACCTCTGCCTTTTTACTCTTTGTCCCTTCTTTTATTACCAATCATCTCTTCTCAGAAACTTAGCCTAGATATATCATTCTACCCTTCAACTTGGAATATATGAAAGTAAAAGTATTAACCACCCTCACAATTTCCTTTCTGACTTTAATTTCAGACGTCACTATTCAGTCCCTGTTGCATCTTTATTGCTCATCATATTATCCCTCCCCATGTTTCTCTGAAGGATTAAATCACACCCTAGTTATTTAATATAGTCTTGCAATTATACCACTGCATCTGCTTGTCTCAGTTTCTCTATTATCCTGTATAGTTTAAGATGTACTGCTTTTTTCATCTTCCTTCTCTGCATATTTGATCCTCTGCTGGCATTCTACCTAGTTTTCTGTCATTTTCCTTGTCTTCCTTTAGATTTAGTGGTAAAAGCATGAACACAGAAATTCTGTCATAGTCTGAACATTCCCAAGGCTGGTCCTTTCTGTGCTCTTCCTCATACCCAATGATCAAATTGTCTTCATCCTCACAATGCCCTCATATCCATTAGAGGCTAACAGTCAGTGGGATTCACATTTGAGAGTCTGAAATTTTTTAGATAGGTTTGCTGTATCCTCTACAATCTACATTAACAATAATATTATTTGGAGGAACAAATATGGGAGACACTATCCCAAAATTTTGTCCCAACTTTGGTTAAGCAGAATATTTTTGAAGAAAGAACCCACCTTAAAACCAGAATATTATTTTTGCTTTATAATTCAAAGGAGAATGGCAGAACATATGAAAAAAACTGATATTAAATATTTGGATTGAGAGAGAGAGTGTGTGTGTGCGTGTGTGAATGCACACTAGAGTTGTTATAGCTCAGTGGTAGAACATTCATTAGCATGAGCAAAGCCCAGGATTTGATCCCTAGCACTGCAAAAGAAAATAAAACAAACAAAAGAAAACTAAAATAAGAAGACACAGAGTTTAAAGATAAACCTAAGAAATATTTTCAAAACAAAGGTTAAAAAAATAAATTATTTATTAGACTGGAAAGTGAAACTAACGTTAAGCAGAACTCTCTAGGACCTAAACTTTCTATAGTTGAGGTTTTCCTAAATTAAAAAAAAAATCAATGTAATCATAAACATTTCTGAAGTTGTGGAAATTGAGAATATATCAATGAGGCAAGCAAAATTAGATGTATTAAAAGGCTATCAGACAGTTGCTTTGTAAGTTACAATGTTAGTGACATCTGGTGTAATGGGAAAAACATCACCAGAGTTTAGAATACCCTCGGTCTATAAAATGATGGGAGTTGGCTGAGATGACTTCTGTGATTCTCTCCAGGTTTTAAGTTTTGGAGTTTTATAGAGGACTCTGATGAATCTTTTTCTAAACTTGAAATAACAAATTATACTTGTCCATGGGTGAGGTTCAATGACTCAATAATTGTTAACTATTATACAATAAAAATACCATTAAACAAAACCTAGCCTCTGGATAAAAATTAATTCTTGCCACTTTGGCTTCCTTTAGCACTTCTGCTTATAACTCTCTTACTGTACTTACAATATTTTCTCTTGTACTATCACGATTTTTATATGTTTTTACCCAGTTAGTTGGGCCTTATGAGTCCAAAGTACAGTGTGTTCCACATCTCATTAATCAATTTTTTTTAACTCTTGGTCACAGTATTATTATAATGTGTGGTTTGTTGTTTTTATCTCTCTTTTTTTCACAAATAGAAAAACCACAATATCATAGAGAATATGTAATATCAGTGTAGGGATTCGTCATATGAGGTAATATGTAGAAATATTCTTGCTCTCAAAACACAAACATGGCAAAAAAAACCTGAACTTGACCTTTCTCTAGATTCTAACTCAGCATTGCTTCCTTTTCTTATGGAAGTATACTAGTTTCCTATCAGTCATATCCTTTAATATCAACTCCTCCCTTTCCTTTTTTCCAATTATTTAAGCCTACGTCAAGGATTCCACTATTTTTACTCACAGTCAATTCACCACCTTGACTACTATACTCTTTCTCATTAAAAAGTTGCCTCTATGAAAGTCCTGTTTCCCAGAAAGGTCTCTGCTGGCCCATCAAAGATTTCCAAATAAGCCCTTTTATTGTTTCCCTACCAATATCTTTTTTGTTTGTTCTTCCAAGTTTCCTATCATTTTCCTAATACATTGGATTGACAAATCTTACTGTCCTCTATTTTTCTATACTGTACTTACAAATGGTTTCAATATAAATAGACATTTGTAAGTATAGTAAATACTTTTAAAAATTAAATTATTTATTTATTCTAATTTGTGATACATGATGGCAGAATGCAATTCATTTCATATTACACATATAGAGCACAATTTTTCAAGTCACTGATTGTATACAAAGTTTTTTCACACCATTCATGTCTTCATACATGTACTTAAGGTAATGATGTCTAACTCATTCCACCATCATTCCCACCCCTTTGCCCCCTCCCTTCCCCTCTCCCGCCTTTGCCCTATCTAAAGTTCCTCCATCCCTCCCATGTTACACCCTGCCGCCACCAGCGCCATTATGAGTCAGCATCCTCATATCAAAGAAAACATTCAGCCTTTGGTTTTTTGGGATTGGCTTGCTTCACTTAATATTATATTCTCCAACTTTCTTAATAAGACTCCTATAGCACAAGAATTAAAACCAAGAATCTATAAATGGGATGGATTCAAACTAAAAAGCTTCTTCTCAGCAAAAGAAATAATCAGTGAGGTGAATAGAGAGCCTACAGCTTGGCAGCAAATTTTTACCACTTGCACATCAGATAGAGCACTCATCTCTAGGATACATAAAGAACTCACAAAGCTAAGCACCAAAAAAAAAAAAAAAAAAAAAAACAAACCACAAAACAAAAACAAAAAACAAAAAACAGAAACAAAACAACCAAATTACCCAATCGATAAATGGGCCAAGGATCTGAACAGACACTTCTCAGAAGAGAATATACAATCAATCAAAAAAATGTATGAAAAAAATGTTCAACATCTTTAGCAATTAGAAAAATGCAAATCAAAACTACTCTAAGATTTCATTTCACTCCAGTCAGAATGGCAGCTATCAAGAATGCAAATAACAATAAGTGTTGGTGAGGATGTGGGGAAAAAGGCACACTCATACATTGCTGGTGGAACTGCAAATTGGTGCAGCCAATATGGAAAGCAGTATGGAGATTCCTTGGAAAACTTGGAATGGAACCACTATTTGACCAAGCTATCCTACTCCTCGATTTATACCCAAATCTTAAAAACAGCATACTACAGGGACACAGCCCCAATGTTTACAGCAGCACAATTCACAATAGCTAAATTGTAGAACCAACCCAGATGCCCTTTAGTAGATGAATGGATAGGGAAACTTTGATATATATACACAGTGGAAAATCACTCAGCATTAAAAGATAATAAAATCATGGCATTATCAGGTAAATGGATGGAGCTGGAGAATATAATGCTAAATAAACACATTTAAGACATTTTCAAATATTTCATTATTTAAAAAGATACTTTCTAAGAAAAAAACACAACTTGGAGTTTTAAACTAATGCTATGAGAAGAAATAATATTTGAAAGTACAGATTCTTTCTTCAAATTAGGCAAATAGACATCAGATAGATTATACTTCACATTAAAATAAGAAAAGAAACTTTGAAAATATAATGGGCCAATTTTAGAGTGAATAAGACATTACTAAACATTATACCAATGAAAGAAATAGAAATTTTAGCCAGGTGCAGTGGCATATGCCTGAAATCCCAGTGGCTTGGGAGGCTGACCCAGGAGGACTGAGAGTTCAAAGTCAGCCTCAGCAACTTAGCTGAGGCACTAAACAACTCAGTGAGACCCTGTCTCTAAAAAAGATACAAAATAGGGCTGGGGATGTGGCTCAGTGGTTGAGTGCCCCTGAGTTCAATTTCCCATAGCTTTCCTAAATCATATATTGAATTTTATAAGTAAACATAAATCAAAACATCATAAAGAATATGAACGTTTTAGGAAAAAACATTTGGAACACAAGTAAAAGAGTTAATATTCTTTTCTTTTAAATTTTTTTTAGTTGTTTATAGACCTTTATTTTATTCATTTGTTTATATGTAATACTGAGAATCGAACCCAGTGCCTCACACATGTCAGGTAAGTGCTCTACCACTGAGCCACGATCCCAGCCCCAGAAGTTAATATTCTTTATATATTAAGAGTTCAGAGCTGGGGATATAGCTCAGTTGGTATAATGCCTGCCTCACATGCACAAGGCCCTGGGTTCAATCCCCAGCACCACACACACAAAAAAAGACTTCTAAAAATAAAGATATTTGGCCTCATCAGCAATCCAAGAAATTTAATATAAAATAGTAATTAGATATCAACACTTCTCCCCCCATAAAATAACCAAAACTGTTTAAAAATTATAATACCCAAGTGTTTTCAGTTCAGGGAAATGGCATTCTTATATCTTGCTAGTAGGAGTATACATTCATAAAATCTTTCTGGAGAGCAATTTGACAATATGTTTCAAAGACTAAAATTTGTTTCCATTTGTTTCAGAAATTCTATTCCTATTTATTAAGCATAAGGGCATAATTAAGGAAAATTAAGTTTTAGTGACAAAAATGGTTAGTGCTGTGGTAGCACAGGAAATCAAAAGCTGTAAGACAGCTATGATGATCTACTATGTGCTGTCAAAGATATTTAATTTTCAAAATATGTAGAAAACTGACTACAAAGCATATATATATAATACATATTATATAATATGTATATATAATATATTGCAAATACATCAAATTATTAATAGTGCTATTATAAATGTTTTTATTTTCTTTTTTAAAAATATTTTTTAGTTGTAGATGGACACAATACCTTTATTTTATTTATTTATTTTTATGTGGTGCTAAAGATAGAACCCAGTGCCTCACACATGCCAGGCAAGCACTCTACCACTGAGCCATAACCCAGCCCCTATTTTCTTTTTATTTGCCTATCACATAATCACCCGAAAACAAAAAATCTATCTCCTTTCTTCACACTAACTAAAAATCTTATTGAATCATAGTAGTCTTTCTAAGATTTTTATCCCTATAGTGCTAGTATCTGATGGGAATCTTAATATATATGACAAACATCCTGAAAAATTAATATTTCCTCTTCCATAATCCAAATTCAAAAAAATAAAAAACATTAAAAAGAAATTAAGAAAAAATTGGACTAATAGCAAACAATATTTAAAATAGGTTCCTTGAGGTCTTTCCAAAAAAGAAAACTCTGAAACTAAATTTGTCTATGCTTCGCATATTCCTTTATTTTTCTCTTTTGAATTCCATCCATTACTTACTTCAAACTTAAGTAACTTCATTTCAGAACTACAAAAGGAAAGAAGATAGGAAATCAAATTGTAATCACATGTTATTGTGTCAATTATACTTAAACCATTAAAGAAAATCCTCAAATGCAATACTCAGATCCATAATATGTGAGATGGAATGACCACTGATTGAACTCTCCAAGGACAGTGAACATTTGAGTACATAATTTCAAACAAATAAAAAGTCTAGGCCAAGATAAAGCAAGTGTAACCAGTAACATTCAAATGCTTTAAATGGCTGATTAAATTCCAAACATGATACTTAAAATCCTGAGGGTCAGGGAATTAACTTGAAGGATTAAGACTCAAAATTACATGAAAACATGCTGTAGTTATTAGAAACCTAGAAGGGGACAAAATTAGCCCATGGATTTTGAGCACCACTTTGATGTATATAATTTTTTCAATTTATCTTGAGATGAATTTATAAAAAAAACTGGCAGAGAAAAGAACAAAATTAAAAATAAATAACTTGATTTCATGATACATATAATAGGTCACATTTCCATATTTTTCTATGACTTAGTTTTAAAGAATTAGTTACATAGTGATCACTTTTTGAAAACAATAGACATAAAGTATAAAATCTTAAAATAAAAATTTTCTATCATTCTAGATACTTTGCACTACTTACTTGATAGTTACTATCCTAAGCCTTTTCAACAGACTAGAAGTGAAAAATTAAGATCAAATGTGCAGGCAGGCACTGGCTTTGGATAATGTGTTCATAAGGCATCACTGTTTTGGAATAAATATGAAGAAATGCACCTTTCTTTATCCATCTTAGGAACCTGGATTTTTATCCATTGTAAGCCCCAAGTTTTTGTGATTCCACTGTGGTCATTTTTGGAAAAGGAGATTAACTTCGTTTTGAAGCTTTTCTTTACAGTTTAGGACATATATGTCCTGTTTACTCTTTTTCCTTATCAATTTCTTTTTAGGACACTTAGCTAACCAAGGGGTTAATGGTTAGTCTTGATTATTCAAACAAGAATAAAATGCCATTCACATGTTTTTTTTCTTGCAGTTGGCAGTCTGGTAAAATCCCTAAAAAAAAAAAATCAGTATCATCATGATCAAATCAGCATCCTTGTCTTTTTCCACATAATTATTGCCTTTTGCTTAATCAAGAAACCTTTCTGTTTTACAGATTATAAAGTGTAGCTTACTGACAGCAAATCTCATTTTAGAGCCATCATTAAAAAGAATAGCTCTTTCCTGTGCTTCTCTTTACAGTGAATTGTAACTGCTACATTGATGAACAGAAAGAGACTGAAGGAAGCCTCTGTGCCTGGATCCAGCATTCAGAAGACAGGATGGTTTGCAACAATGGAACTTAAAACTGGGTCAGTAAGTTAAAGCATTGATATTCCATTCCAGAGTATTTTTAAACCATTTTAAAAGGATAAATATCTAGAAAAAAGGAGTGGAAAGAAATCATTTTGTTGCTGTTAAATTTAAGTCGCCAATATTTTATGTAACTTTAAGAAAGGGGGAAAATCCCAAATACTGCTGTAAGATGCCATCAGTAACAAAATGAATCCTGATTTCATAGTTCTTAAAATGTGAAAAGATGTACCTTAGAATTGATATAATATGATCAATTCCAGCACTGTGTCAGGACCAAATTCATTGAAATTTCTGCTTTCAAAGAATTAATAATCGAAGTCTATGAATAAATAGGAATCTTTGCTTAGGGAAAAGGATATCAAAATATCACCCTCTTTGTTGTTTCCTCCCTTTTTCTCAGCCTCATTTATTTTTTCATGTCAGTAATTTTCCAAATATGAATTCATGATGTTTTTCTCTTTGTACCCGAAGAACCAGTTCTTACTTCTTTCTCTTACTTACTCAGGTGGGCAGGGCTCAGTGTTGCAGGCTCTTTGATTTTCAGGTGGCTTACTGTCAGGATCACAGTAATTATTCTGGACAATGGAGTTGTCATCCAGCCTTTTACAGACCACCTCCTGTCTTTGGACACCTTGAGGAAAGGAGGACATCATTAATTGAGGAGCAGTTCACCTTCCAAAAAGGTGAGTATGCATAGCTTTCTTCCTTGGGGGATCAACCTCACTGGATCGCTGCTGTCTTATCTGTTCCAGAAACACTTGACTGCTTCTCTAAAAAGGAGAGAAGTCCTGGTCATTATACTGAAATTTTAGGCAAAATCATTGTTCTCATATTTAGAAATATAACTGTTTTCAAATCCAGAAAAGAAACTACTGGTAACTTAAAGCAATTAGTATTTCCATCTGTATGTTCTTCTTCGTGCTTTCCTTAAAAAAAAAAAAAAAAAAAAAATCCCTTAAATTTCCCAAATTATCCTCAGATAAAATGTATTTATATACATTTCAATGAAAATCAATAATTGTATATTTTTTTAAAAAACAATAGGGATCAATTTACTTTTTGATATTTTATAGGAAAAATCCCACCAGTTTAATCTTTGTTAGGCATACATCACATCCACACATTTCATTTTTATTTTTACATTTACATACGTATCACTCTAAAAGCCCAGGAAGTACAGAATTTAAAGATTGCAGTGGACCTTTTAGACTGTAACCAATTAGTCTGTTTGCTCTAAAGAGTTGGACCCGTTGATTATATGTCAAAGAAATACATACATAACTCATTCAAATGTTAATTTTCAAAATACTTATCTTGTTCATAAAAAATTAGTCTTGAGTGATCTGTTTACCACAACTAAAAATATCCTCATTATAAGTTTGTAAAATTTTAAATATGTGTTTATTATTTATTGGCAAAGATATCCATCACAACTTGTTCACATTTCATAAAACACAAAGACACACACAACACATACTCTTATTTGTAAACACCCCTGGTCAATAAGCTTTAGGTATACTTTCTTTAGTGTCAATCAATCAAAAAAATCCAAGATAGGTATGTCAAAATATCAAAGAGAAACAAGTCAAACTACAAGACCATGTATCATGTTTCAGATCATACAGGGGCAATAGGTTACTCCTGCAAGTGGAAATGAGAATACAAACTAAACCGTCCCTCCAATCACCAAACCCTTCCCTCCAAACAGGTAATCTAAATTACTCAGAAAGTGTCTAAGAGCAGCATTAACAGTAACCAGCAAGCCACAGCGTCATGCCTTACCCAATACTTCATTTGTTTTTCCTTTTGTTTTCAGTCATTTTAAAATAGTAGCGCCTTAAAAACAAAGTATGATCACAAATTAGGGAAATCCATGTGAGAATAGGGTCATTCAGTGAAGGAAAGTTTAACCTAAAAACCTGGGCACCAAATGCTTTCTCCAAGATCCTTCTTAAGAGTCATAAAAATCCAATGGGCAGGAGTACTTCAGTTGTGACATATGCACATCTTTAACTCAGCCCTTTGTATTTAAAGATTGACACAGGAACAAGTCTTCTAAGCTTATAAGACTTAGATCTTATATCCTACATGACACTGGTGAGTAGTGAAAGAAGGTATTTTTTTATTGCTTGCAGAGATGCAAGACTCTTATTGATCACCTTAAGCAACATGTTTTTAGGCTTTCTTAAATTTAGAGATCTAACAATTAGTCAAACAATTTACTGGCAAAATATCTGAAAGTATGTATTGTATTCATTCCCTCCTAACCCCTGTAATAGGCCAGATGACTCCATTTATGCAATGACAACAATTTAAAATTTTTAACTATTAAACTTTAGATTTTTGAGGGAAGAATGATTTATATCAAGCATAGCTATGATCTGTTCACAGATGTCCCATGATATTCATCAGATTACCTTCCCATTGTGTCATTCCAGTGGGCAGATAACTAAGACCATGTGGTCCACCTAAACAGATATTTCAACTGTGAGTCAAGGGACTCAGCTACCAACTGCAACAATGGCTGACTATCCATTCATTCTGGTTCAATGTTTTGCTTCTGTCAGGAAAAGCAGAACAGTGCTTTTATAGGTTAGCATGATTATTTATTTATTTTTCATTCAAATGTGACTATATTTGAAACAAGAATGCTGGCACCAGTACAGTATCTTGGTTTTTTTCTCAAAAAAACGATAAAACATTTTCAGCTCTACAAAATGGAACTGATGTTGCTTTGTTTCAGTGGCAGAAATGTTCAGTCAGTTTCTACAGGTTAAAATAAAATTTTACTTTTAAAATATATAACCTTAGAAATGTTTTTCCTACAATAACATTTGTTCACAAGTAGCCTTTAAGGTGAAAGTAGTGCTACTTCAATTTGAATCACAGATGAAATGTTAGTAGAGATAATTAGCAGAGATTTATATTAAGATTTCATTTTTAAAAAATTCTAGGCACTTATGTATCTTGAAGAAATTTTCCTCTATAACATTTATTGTTAAAAATTTGGAAAATAGCCAGGCACGGTGGCACACGCTTGTAATCCTAGCAGCTCAGGAGGTTGAGACAAGAGGATCGCAAGTTCCAAGCCTTAGCAACTCAGCAACTTAGCAAGGCCCTAAGCAACTCAGTGAGAATCTGTCTCTAAATAAAATACAAATGGCTGGAGATATGGTTCAGTAGTTAAGTGCCCCTGAGTTCAATCCCTGGTACCTAAAAAGAAAAAAAAAAGGAAAATATACAAAACCATAAGAAACAAAATAAAAATTACTGATATATCTATATATCCCACATCTTTATTCTAGAACTTTATCCTTTTGGGTTATTTTGCTGAATGATTTGTTTAAAAATTACATACTTACACAAACTAAAACTGCCAACTAAATGTGGTTGGCAGTTCCTTCATTCATTCACTCACCCATTTCATTCATTCATTAAGTAGGTAATAGGTACTAAATATAAGGCACTCTGCTTCTTATGAGATATTGAACAAAGAATACAAATTGACTTAATTTTGACCAGGCCTTCCAGTCATCTTAAAAACCAGGAATTACAGGTTTTCTGGGTTCATTTTAGCTTCATAATTTCAGATTGATATTTTTTTATGAAGTGAAAATGAAAGTCCTTGAAGACAGCTAAAGTTGCTATTTTATGAGCCTGCATTTTTTCTTGCATTCATCTTTTACTAATTTTCTTCTAAAATGTTATAGTAGACAGTGTGGTATTTCACACTCAACAACTGCCTATTCTAGTAGCCTATTCCAAACCTTCCTATGACACTATGCTATTTTCCTCTAACAGTATACAAATTTCCTTCCAACTTTTACCCCTGCACTTGGTAGGTTTACAGACTTTTTTTTTTTTTCCTGCTTTGATTTTGAGTCAGTAGCAACAGGATAACTCTATAAACCAATGCACTAAATGGATGGATTTTTAAAAACACACACCTTTAAATTAAAGCAAAGGCAGCTTTTAACTCCAGGAAGTAGAAAATAAAGATCAACTGGAAATACTCTAAGTCAACAAGAGAAATACATTTTAGAATCTTTTTATATGATCAAATCTCTTGAACATAGCTTCTTTTAAAGTAGTCTATAAAATATTGCTAAGTTGATTTTAAACCCTATTGGGAATAATTACATCCAGTTACACAAAACCACTATGCTTTCAAATCTAAAGATTTATAGCTTATAACAACAAAAAAAATGTGTGTGTGTATGTGTGTATGTATGTATGTATGTATATATATATATATATATATATATATATAGATACACACATATATATATAATATGTATTTTATTTATATATATAATATACATATAAAATTAAATATCCACATGGGCAGTCAATGTATATCTAATCAAAAACAATTCAAGTGCCTGTCCCCTGGAGATAGGCAGATGTTCTGCAGAATTTAATTGGCCAGATTTAAAGCTGCACTAATTATATTTTTAAACACCTAATTTTGCAGGCATGAAAATTGTATATCTTTTTTTTATAAATGCAATCCTTCTTCCATGCTTAAAAATCAATGATTTCATATTATAAAAGTTAAGTACAAACTTTATTTTAAATACTCTAAAATTTAAAGCCTTTTAGTCTGTTTATCTTTTGAATTTTTGATATTAAAGAACAAAATATGATGGTATAGTGGTTCTTAACAAAGAAATGTAACTCTAGGGCCAGGGATGTAGGTCAGTGGCAGAGTGCCTGCCTAGCATGTGCAAAACACGTGGTTCAATCCTTAGCACTGAGAAAAAAGTAAAGAAATGTAACACTTACTTTTTGTATTTAGTTTAAACTTTTCAGATCCTATATTTAATTTTCTGATAATAGTTAAAAATTAAGGTCTATTTACCCACCAAACGTTCTCTTGTACAATGGGCGGATCCAGCTTGAATCACTGCTCAAGCTACACATCGAGAAATGGCTTTAAATGGCATTTTCAAACAGCATATAATACAGGAAATGACACTGAACCCTGGATGGCATCTTCAATTTAATATTCTTACTCTAGGGAATGGTGAAGGGTGGTTCAGGTAAGAGAACTTTGTAGTCCCAGGGTGGATCCTAAATGAAGACTCAGAGACCATATATGGTTCTTCTTGACTTCTTGCCTCCTTCCCAGTTCTTCTCCACTCCCCTTATGAACTGCCCAAGGTTCTCATGTGGTCCCACCTTCTCTTTTTTTCAGAGAGTTAAATAATTTTATAGGCTCATTTGTAACACAATATTCAGCAATATACTGTTTTTTTCAGAGCAGTTCACCACTTTAAACATAGAAAAATTGGAGAAATTAGCACTTGAAAATTTAACTTTATTGTATAAGTCTTTCACCTCTTTTGTTAGGTTGATTCCCAAGTATTTTATTTTTTTTTGAAGATATTGTGAATGGAGTGGTTGTCCTCATTTCCATTTCAGAGGATTTGTCGCTGATATACAGGAATGCCTTTGATTTATGCATGTTGATTTTATATCCTGCCACTGTGCTGAATTCATTTATTAGCTCTAATAATTTCTTTGTAGACCCTTTTGGGTCTGCTAGGTATAGAATCATATCATCTGCAAATAGTGATAATTTAAGTTCTTCTTTTCCTATTTTTATGCCTTTAATTTCTTTCGTCTGTC